ACTGTATATAGTATCTGTATATTGTGTGCATTTGTCTTCTAACCATGTAGTTCCCTTAAGCCTGTAACACTGCTGTGCTAGGTGATGAGTCTCAAAGTAGGAAAAAAAAAATCTGTGTCACCTGCATACACTTGTATTTGAAATTACATACACTTGTGTTTAAAATTATTTTTATAAAACCTCACTGAATTTTCATCAATTCGGATGCATATACTGAGAGCACCAGGGGATCTTTATTTGCTTCTGGATCTAATGTGTATTTTTCATCTCATTACTGTTTTCTGAAGTGCGGCTGACTGAAGGGGTAAACACTAAATTGGTAGCATTGCTGCAGGTTTCCACAGTAAATCAGAGGCAGGCCCTGTGTTCTGTGAACTCTAAAAGAAAATTGGTTAAAATTGCTTATGGTGCCCTAACAGATACCAAGCGTGGAAATATATATAAAAATTAGTTTTAGTTTATTGTAATATGTAAAAAAAGCACTTTACTCTGTAAATATCAATTGCATACTAGAGGCCACATAGAGAGATGAGAGTAGATGCAAAACATCTGTGTTATTATATCTATTTGTGATCTCATTAATTAAGCACTACATTAGTTGTGGCTCATTAAAACCCTTTATTCTCTGTGGACACAGATAGATTCCCTGTCCTAGAAACAAAACATGTTGTAGTGCAGCCAAGGTGGAAAAGAATGCTTTTCCAGTAGCAAATGATGTCCATAAGCAGTTACTCATTTCTGTATTAACTACCAGCTGAGTTCTCTCCTCAGTTGTTCAGTGTTCCTAGTTGGACCCACTACTGTAATCACTGGGGCTGTTTACTTGCATTCAAACACCAGTTCTGCCTTGGGTTACTAAAAAACATTAATTTTAAACCTTCCTGTAATTTCTGGTTAACACCTTTTTTCATGCTGCATGTTTCTATTGGTTGTGTGATGTAAGTTGTAGGGCTGTAGTAGTTTTTCCTCACCCAGTTATGTCTCTGGTGTTGTGAAGTGACAGACATCTTCCTACATTCCTCCTGCTTAACTCATCCTATGCAGGACATGCATTAAATCAGATGTAGTTGCAGATACTTGTATCGATTTGACAGCTAAGCCTCCCCTTCGGTAAGGAGATGGAGGCACCCCAAACAAAACCTGAGTTAACGTCTTGTTTTTGATTCTTAACAGTTGCTGAAGACCCTGCAAAATCACTTACTGATTCATCTCCTGGATTTGGGCATTCTTCACCACCACTGCAGCCACCTTTAACAAACTCTGTGACTACGGAAAACAGATTCCACTCTCTCCCTTTCAGTTTGACAAAAGCATCAAGTGCTAATGGTGCTATTGGACACAGTCCTCTGTCTTTATCTGTTCAGTCAGTCATTGGTGATGTAAACACTACAGCTAACCAGGAAAGTCCATCAACAGGAGGCCCTGTTGGTAACTCGCATGGTCTTGAAGCAGGTTCCTTGGCTGAAGTCAAAGAAAATCCCCCTTTCTATGGAGTAATCCGCTGGATTGGCCAGCCTCCTGGGGTAAATGAAGTGTTAGCTGGACTGGAGCTGGTAAATATCATCTGATAAGTTGATTCATAGTAGTATTAATTATCTGCTTTGAGAGTTGCTGCATGTATACTTTACAGTAGTGGTCAGTCTGGATGAAAATTTGTCTGAAGTTGCTATGTGATCTCCTTGTAAGGTAGATGAAATCTCAGATGGACTCTGACTTTAGTGGCTGCCCTAGGCTTTATTCCATTAATAGGCTCTGAGGTGGCTTTGTGCTACAAAGCATGATTGACTCAGAAGGACCGTAGGTGACTCATTTGCTATGTAGGTTACTTGCTTAAGTGGAGTGTCCTTTGTCCATCTTACTTACTGACTTACTTGTCACTGAGGCAAAAAGCCCCATGCTATTTAAAGGCTCTGTGATACACAGTTCTGTAAAATAAAGAAATAAAAAAGTCCTGTGTGTAAGAAGCTCAAATGTATGTGGCACACCAGCACGCAAGCAGTGTCAAGAGTCCATCAGCAGAACTGCAATACTGATTTTGGTAATCAGTGGTAGCAGTATTCTTGGTCTGACAGCGAAGTGCTTGGTGTTCCTACCAGCCCTTCATGAATTCACAGTTGCTGCAAACATGAATTACTTTTATGTACTTAGAGTTACTCTCCAGTTGCTGCCATAGTAGTGAATGGCTGTCACTTATTAATGTGTGTGCAATTAGAATAATCTAGGTTGGAAAAGGCTTTCAAGATCATGTATAGCCATTGACCTGACCTACTGAGTGCTATCACTAAATTGTTAGGGATGTGGAGTTGTTTATTTTGGGATCATTTTTGGTAAAATTTCAGATAAAATAGTGTACAATTGTATAAAACAACAAACATTTCTAGCAAAGTAAGTGAGAATGCAACTGATATTTCAGCTGTTGGAAAAGTCCTGATGTTTGTGGCTTCAGTGGGTGATGCTCAGTGTATAGTTTGCCACAGGTGTTTGCATCTTAAGATGGTTTTTGTTAAACTGGGCTCTTGTGCCTGTTTGACATCCATTTCTGCATTAGATCATGGCAGGTTTTGTAAGCAATAATATACCTTAAATCATGGTATCAAAGATATTTAACAATTACAACTCATAATACTTCAGATCTAGCTTCTATTGCCTTCCTTGATGTGTCTAATGTAGTCCATAGTGACACTGAAAATATTCACACTTCTAGTGCTTAATGATTTTAACTGAGTTCTGCAAGATGCTTGGTAGTACACATGTGCTTTTTCTACTTCAGAGGGTATCTGGATTAAGGGGCTAGCTTAGTGAAAGTCCTTCAAGTTGAGTAGGTTTAATTCTCACTCTCATCTCCCACCTCCCCCACGTTTCTTCTGAAGAAAGTGTAACACTTAATTGCCTCAGTAAATCCAGGCAAGCAGCGCCTCAGCTGAAGCTTTGTACACACACTAAAAAGCAGCAACACTGCTTATTAAGCTTCAGAATACTCAAAGGGTGATTTTTTTGGGTAGGTATTGTAATTCAACATCTTAGTACAGAACTGTGGAAATATGAAAACGGTGAATTCTCACTTTAATTTTCAGGAAGACGAATGTGCAGGTTGTACAGATGGAACATTTAAAGGAACTCGATACTTCACTTGTGCTCCAAAGAAAGCTCTTTTTGTTAAACTGAAAAGCTGCAGACCAGATTCCAGGTTTGCGTCACTACAGCCGGTTTCCAATCAGATTGAACGCTGCAACTCTCTAGGTACCGAGCTTCTGCTTATGGTTTATTTATCAGCTGGGAACTGACACGGGGTTTGGTTTCATTGAACACTTGGAGATCTCTATAGGCAGCACTTAAATGAGGCTTACGAACAGGAAATCAATCTATAGAATATAATGCTTCTCTGGCTTTTTTGTACTTCATGGTAATTTAAGGAAATTTCATAAATCTTGGGAATTTACGTTGTATATTTTTACTTTAGAAATTGTGAAGCAGTCTTGCTGAAAATGGTATTAGCAAATCCAGCAATGTGGGATTGCGGTATCAGAATTAAGTTATATTTCTGTCTTAAATACTGAAAGAAAAGAATGTATTTGTATGATGAAGATCAGTGGTGGAAAAGCTAATTCTCTTTCCTAACATTATTAGCTTTCCTGGGTCATGTCATTTTGCTGGGAAGAACAGCAAAGGATAAAGCATCTCGGTGTTAGCATGATGATGTGAACAGGGCATTTAAACTGAGAATTTCACTCCTACTGGGCAAAATTAATTCAGTGCTGCAGGCTATCTGAAGTAGTCCTGTGTTCACTGTGTGGAATGTGAGGCCTTGTTCACTTTCTGGAAGAGAGTGAGTCTTAGCTATAATGAAATGCTATTCTAGTCCAGAAAATGAATGTTTTGTGCTAAGGCAGCAGTTTAGCTATGAAACATTAATAGGAAAATCTCAAGGGGGATAAAATTGGAGGCTTTAAAGTGTCTTTTGAAAAAAAAATTTCAGCCTTTGGAGGTTACTTAAGTGAAGTGGTAGAAGAAAACACTCCTCCAAAAATGGAAAAAGAAGGTTTAGAGACAATGATTGGAAAGAAGAAAGGTATCCAGGGTCATTACAACTCCTGTTACTTAGACTCCACCTTATTCTGGTAAGTTCACAATTTGTATAGTGGCGTCCCAAGGTGTGGGTTAGTGGGAGGTATGCTAGAAGCACAGAACACGCAATCCTTGTTGTAATGATTCTGTTTTATTACTGTACAGCTTAAAAAGTTTTTAGCACATGCTATGCTCTTTACATTTGAGAAAGCTCTACAGGATTTGTTGCTTAACTTGAAGTGCTAATCAGTCTCCCGTGTGTCCAGATTGTACTGGCCTTTCAGTATATCTAAAGGGAGTTTATAAACAGGAGGGAGATAAACTTTGAACAAGGGTAGATAGCGACAGATGGGGGAATGGTTTTAAACTAAAGGAAGGGAGGTTTGGATTAGACTAGATGTCTGGGGACAGTTTTTTACTGAGAGAATGGAACGGGCTGCCCAGAGAGGTGGTAAATGCCCCATCCCTGGAGGTGTTCAAAGCCAGGCTGGGACTCTGGGCAGTCTGATCCAGTACTTGATCTAGTGGTTGGCAGCCCTGCCTGCAGCAGGGGCGTTGGAACTCAGTGATCCTTGAGGTCCATTCCAGTCCATGCCGTTCTATGATTCATATTCTTCTGGACTGCCGTGAATCCATGGACTTCTGAAGGGTTAGAGAGTATGTGGGTGGGACAGGGTCAGAGAGGAACTCTTTTAACCTGCTTGTGGAATCCTGCCTCGGTAACTAGTTTTGTATTGTGCTGGCACGAGGGCATGGGGTTAGAGTGGACCTTTACTGCTTAGTACAGCTGTGTTGTCTTGTCCATAATGATCTCATTTTGTGCTTGCTTAGTTCTTTAATTCCTCCCATTGCTTTGCTTTGCTCATCTTGTGTTGTTTAGGCATCTGAATGGTTCTATCTGCAGAATCAAAACCAACCTGCCTTCTTTTTCTTTCTTCTGTAGCTTGTTTTCTTTTAGCTCCGTTTTGGACACCGTGTTACTCAGGCCTAAAGAAAAGAATGATGTAGAGTATTACAGTGAGACTCAAGAGTTATTGCGAACAGAGATTGTGAATCCTCTTAGAATGTAAGTAGAGACATAAACCAGTCTTTCGTCTAAAATAAATTTTACAATAAAGCCTTCTGCATACACATTCCTGTTGCAAACCTGCCAAGTTTCCTTAGCTTTTTTTTTTTTTTTTAAATTAACAATTGTTTTTTATAGTAAATTTCATCAGTGCTACCTGGAAATAGTTGGATGTAGTTTGGTGATAAAATACTATATTTATCTGAATTTGGAAATAGAATGAGCGTAAAACTTTTGTAAGATTTGTACAAGAACATTGATAAATGAGTTATATTCATTTTTAATGTCTGTATTTGTATCTTTATTGTTGCTGTTCTTGACAACAAAAGTATTTGAGTCAACTTACATGAAGTTTCACAGTGTCATAGACTTCAGGGGAGCTTGCAGAGCTTCAGTAATTCTGCAAGTGACCAAAATGCTTTTTATTAAACAGGAAATTAATTTCATAATTTCTCAGGTATAATGAGCAAAGGGAGTGTGCCAAAAATCTTTATTATGTTGTCTTCATATTTGTTTTTTTTTTAAACCTGCAAATATAACACAATTCTGAAATTCTGTGGGCAAGTTTTTCCTTGCATTCCTGGAGGAAGATGATGTCTTCTGAACCATTCCTTCCCTAGTTTGCCTGGTGTGTTCTGGGGATCTGTAGTGCAGGTAGTGGGGTGCACACAGAGTGCAGCAATCTCCAGTGGCTGAGAGGACTGAAAGGGTTACTCCTGCCTTTCCACCATGCTTAGAAAGTTCTCTGTACTTTTTGTAAAGTTTGAGATGATTGCTGAAAGCATCAGCTCCTCAGATCAGAAATACAGTTCTGTATCTTTCTTAACTCTTCATTAATGACTCTGATGGTGTTGTTGTATGAGACACTGAAAATGCTGCATTAAGTGGTGCAAGTTAGTGCTGGGTTACAGTTTAAAAAAACCCTTTTATGCAGGAACACTTGAGTGATGTTCAGCAGTTGGGGTGCTTTTGGAAAACTGAATCAGGTGAGTATGAGGACTCAGTACATAGCTTTGCAGAAACACTGTACACAGAAAAAGATCTGCAAGCCCGTGTTTCAGCACTTGAGTCTTTTCTTTTCCTCTGGCTTGTTTATAAACTAGCTAATAGCTTGTTTAAACCCATTTATCTTAGATATGGATATGTATGTGCTACAAAAATAATGAAACTGAGGAAAATACTTGAAAAAGTTGAGGCTGCATCAGGATTCACTTCAGAGGAAAAAGGTAACTGGGAAGGCTTTTCCTTTCTTTACAATCTGTAAGAGTTATACTACAAAATACATATTATACAAAGTAAAATACAAATTTTTCTGGAGCAGTAATATCTGTACCAGAGACTTGAGTGACCACTGGATGGTAAAAAGGTCTTTTTTTTTTTTTCTTGCTTCTTCTATTCTATAAGGAACGTCCTAGCTTTATCAGTTTCTGCATCCAGTCTTTTTCTGACTGGATTTATTGCTTCCCGTGCCCATGTCTCCATGAAATGAGACACTCCCTTCTTGTAGCTAGGGGAGATCTCAGAAATAAAGACTATGGTGAGGTTGTGGTCTGTGTCCTCTTTCAAAGTGTTACTTTGCTTCCTTTGATCTTCCCACCACAACGTTTTGTCGCCACAGTGATTATACAGTAGTCTAAGAAATAAAATGTGTAACATGTTAGGAAAACCAAATCTCAATCTTTTGATCTTCTGCCGCATATAAGGATTAATTAACATTTTCATTATGTATTAGTTCTGATTTTTGTGTGGGAGAACACCATGTTCTTTCAAAATGTTAAATGCTGAGAACTAATATTTATTGCAGCTAGTGGCAGGAAGAAAAATAAAACAGAAAACTGCTGGGTGTGATTAGATCTCTAAGCTAATGCTGGTTTGTTCTCGATTAGAGAGCTCATTCTCCAGGTTAGATGAACTTTGTCATACTGTGTATTTTCATACAAGTGTTAACTGTCGTGTCTCTTCACCTCTCCAATTTCTCAGTTGTATTTTTTGGTTCTCCTGTTAAAAAAACACCAAACTGGTACCAAATGACTCCTCTGGAATACAGCGTCTTTGTAGTCTGTACTGGAAAACCCTGCTAGCTTGTTGAGAGCGTGTGTCTGTTTTTAGGGCCATTTGATGCCAAGAGAGAAAATAGAGGTTTGTGCCATCAAAATGTTTGTAGTTTGTCATAAATTTACCTTGATATATCATGAAATTGTACAAATGAACCTTTATATTTTTCTTATTTAATGTTTTGCAACTTTCATTCTTAAATACTGCTTTTTAAGATACTAAGAAGACTTTATTTTTTTTTCCCAGATCCAGAAGAATTTTTGAATATTTTATTTCATCATATTCTAAGAGTTGAACCACTGCTGAAAATAAGGTGAGTCTTTTCTGTGTTGCACTCATTTGTCTGTAGAGGCTGATGGGGAGGGACAATCTGCCGCCTTTCTTACTGAGACATCTTTGACTTGTGGTTATTATTAATATTATATATTAATAGGGCTCATAAAATTACACTGACAAACTTGATGGTGTTTCCTATCATTTTTGGTAGGATGTGTTTTTCTCTATTCATCTGTTATTGCAAAAACTCAACCTCGTCATGACGTGAGTGCTGGAACAAAGATTCCCTACAGCTGCTGATGGGAAAGTCTTATTAGTGTATGTCTATTAATTGTGCTGGAGAGAGGCTAGAGTATACCTTACTAATGAGGCCTGCAGCTTTATAGCTGCTTATTTTTGGGACAAGCTGCAGGGTTTCCTGATTTGGTGTTTAAGCCATGGAATCAGACTTGTATTTCTTCCTGGCTTGTGAAAGCGTTTCAGTGGCTCACCTTGATTAAGTTTTGCTGCTTTAACTTCTGACAAAGTAACAGATGCTGACATGTAGGTAAGCCTTCGCTCTGGCTGTGGCACCACAAGGATTCAGCTGTCTCAACTGAGATCAGGAGAGGAAGGGATTGTTGCACACGGCTGACATTCTGCTAGCTGGCACCTGATACTTTCAGGTTCCTTGCTGTGTTCTGTGGCATCAGCAATGCTGCATGTCCTGTAGTTTTTACGTTCTTCCTTTATCCCAGGAATTGCATCAAGCAGAGCTGGGCAGCCCCCAAGTATTTTTGAGTTGGTAATTCAGGAATATAAAAACATCTTCAGAACATACTTATGATGCTTTTGTTTCTTAAATAGCTCTTCTACAGTCAGTCCGCATGTAATGGTTGCCTGTTACTTAAGACTTTTTGTTGTTCCTGGTTTTTTTGTGTGTTTTTTTTCTTTTTTTTTTTTTTTTTTTTAAGCACATGTATTTCACAGTAGAGAGGATGTTGTATGGGCTACTTTTTGTAGTTAATATTTTCTTTGCAAAGTACAGCTGTTGTTATGGTAGATCTGATTTTATTCTTTCTTTTTTTTTTTTTTTTTTTTGGAATTCTGTTCTCAGATCAGCAGGTCAGAAAGTACAAGACTGTTATTTCTACCAAATTTTTATGGACAAAAATGAGAAAGTTGGAGTCCCAACAATTCAGCAGTTACTGGAGTGGTCGTTCATCAACAGCAACTTGAAGTTTGCAGAGGTTGGTGACACTGTTGCTTTGTCAAAAATGATGATAGCTACATACTTACCCGTCGGCAGTGAGAGAAAAGTGGGATTGGGTGTGAAAGGAAAATGCAGATGTGTTGGGGTGGTGGAGTGCTCAGTAGTACAGGTTGCTTACATTGCAGAAATATTTTATGGTTGACTTGATGAGCATGTTACCAAAATTGCTTTGATCTGTTCAGACAAAGCATTACCAAAATAAAACTCTTTGGTTACTGTTGGTAAGTTGCCTTAAGAACTGCTTTTTTGGGATTCCTATGTTTGTAAAAAGCTTTACAAAGGAAAAGCTTAAAACAAACAAACAAAAAACCCCACTTTAAAAAAAAAAAATCTTTGTTTTTACAAGGGGGTGTAGTCCAGTATTTAATATCATGACAGCATATCTGGCACTTAATTCATTTGACAATGAATTAGGTGCTAGTTTCATGGGTTTCAGCTGTAGATTATTTTTTTTTCTAAGACTTAAGTTTGTCTTTTTTGTTAATTTTTAAGACAGTAGGCTGCAACTCTAAATAACATCTAAATACATTTATAGCATTAGAAGGGGTATGCCTCTAAATTTAGATTTATCTTTTTCAAGCTTGCCTGATTGTTTTCTAACTTTTCACCCAGGCTCCTTCTTGCCTGATTATTCAGATGCCTCGATTTGGAAAAGACTTCAAAATGTTCAACAAAATTTTTCCATCCTTGGAGCTAAATATAACAGATTTACTTGAAGACAGTAAGTACACAGTATCGTGTTGAATAAGGAAAGGGAGTTTTTTGAAAGCAACTAACGCAATGTAATTACCTCAGGCAGTTTTTAAGTACCTGTATTCAAAACTGACAAACATGTAAACCTGTAGCATGCCGTGATGGTGCACGTTTGGCTGTAAAATCTCACTTCTTGTCACTACTGACTTTATTGTTCTGCATTACCTAAGGAAATTTGATTTTCAGTTCTTATGCAATAACCAATAAGACTGCTACAGTTATTAGAATAATCATCTCTGTTCTAAACTGTCCCAGTGTTTTCTTTCACTGTCGCAGCCATCAGCCTTTGTTCTGCGTCTGTTTGCCAATGTCAACAGATGAAGACTGATATGACAGAGCTATTTTAATATAACAGCCTGTTTTCACTTGTCCATGAATTGATATAAATTCATTTTTATCACTGTTTGCAGCTTCCCATTTTTAAAACCTTTTTTCTTCCACATTGTTAGAGAAGAAATTAAAGGGAAGAAATTAAATGTAGTTTCTGCTTTGATTAGCTAGATGGTTTTAAGTCTTTTACAATACGTTCTCTCTCTGCAAAGGTAATAATAATCTTATTTTCCATACTCTTTTCTTCTTAGACAACTTAAAAAGGGTCCTAAATGGTAGACTAACATCTTGTTTAAAACTGCAGCTCCCAGGCAGTGCCGTATTTGCGGAGGGCTGGCTATGTATGAGTGCAGAGAATGTTATGAAGATACCGATATTTCTGCTGGGAAAATCAAGCAGTTCTGCAAAACCTGCAATACACAAGTAAGCTGCTGTCTGTTCTGCGTGGGTTTACCCCAAATGGCACATGCTGTAATAAAAAAAGTGTAGGGAGCATTAGTGAGATGCCCTGCCAGGGAAAGCTGTGGCAAATTGGGAAGGCTGCGTGGCCCTGTAATGAGTTTGTCAAGCAGTTCTGTATTAAAAGTGTGGTGAAAGAGTAATTGCAGGTACCTTGGAATTTGTTCTCAGTCTTCTTTAAAACATAATTTTACGTTTTACTTGTTGGAATTGGTAAATATTTTCATGATGTAAAACCATTTAATGTTTAGAGCTGTTTGGTAATTGCATGAAGCTGTCAAATTCATGGCTTATTTTCAAGGCTTGAGCATATTAGAAAATTCTTGCATTAAATCTGACTTCCCTTCTGAATTTTTTGGGAAATACTGCACTATTTCACAACCGCCCCAAACTATAGTTTGGGGGGGTTGTGGAATACAATAAATGTGTGCTACTGCTACTTTGCAGTTCCTTCTCTAAGACTGTTGATCTTCAGCAGGACTGTTCTTCTCAGCTTTGTCTGCCACTGAAACAAATAATCTCAAGTTGATTTTTTTTTTTTCTCTTCTGAAACATTACTTCAATTGTAGGTTCATCTTCATCCCAGGAGACAGAGTCATAAATTCAATCCATTGTCACTCCCCAAAGATCTGCCAGACTGGGATTGGCGACATGGCTGTATCCCATACCAGAAGATGGAGTTGTTTGCTGTCCTCTGCATAGAAACAAGCCACTATGTAGCTTTTGTGAAGTACGGGAGAGATGACTCCGCCTGGCTTTTCTTTGACAGCATGGCAGATCGGGATGGTACATCTTCAAATTATTCTCTTTGGTTTTCTTAACTTTTAAAACTTGTATTACAGTTCTGTAAGTTTTAGTGCCTATTTATTTCCTAACACTTGGTGATACTAGTGCCATCTCACTTGAAGCGTTTAATGCTGGGACATGAATCTTGAACCCATCCTTTCCTTAGCACATTGCTATAGCAGACTTAATGTGTACATTCTGATTTTCAGCAAAATTGGATGCCTTAGTAAGTAGATGGTATTGAATTAACTGGAGAGATCCTCCAGTAGGGCTTTTTATGGTTTTCTGTATTTTCTAAATTTGGCAGAGAACTGATTTAAAGGGGATGTATTTAAAAGTTGCAAGAACACATTCCTTCAGTCTTTTTAAATGGATGTA